GAAACTCACAATAAATTGTTGAATAATTTTGAGTACAAATCAAACATCTGCATCACAGTAGTTTAATTGGCTCTACATATTTTTTTATTTTTTTTATTTTTTTTTTATTGAGCCATGAAAATGATCACTTTAGCATGGATTAATGGGAATGTGAGTGAAACTTCTTTTATTACTCAAGGAAACCCACCACCTCCTATTCCACCCCCAGCTCCTCCCCCAAATCCACCACCCAATCCACCTCCCCCACCACCGCCTCCACCTCCACCTCCACCTCCTCCTCCAGCACCTCCAACTCCACCTCCAAACCCACCACCAGCTCCTCCCCCAAAACCAGAACCACCACCTACTCCTCCACCACCACCTCCACCAAATCCTCCTCCACCACCTCCACCAAGTCCACCGGCTGCACCACCACCAAAGCCAGCTCCACCACCAGCACCTCCACCTAACCCTCCACCACCTCCACCACCAAGACCTCCGCCTCCCCCTCCCAAACTCGGATGATGAAAGAAATTCTTCTCATCATTGAAAGAACCTATCGAACCAACAAGTTTCCTTGCACTGCAGGTGGTGCAAACAAGAACACCAAGAAGAACAACCAGAAGAAATTTGGAAATCATCTTAATTTGCAAGTAACATATAAATCAATGACTTCTGATTAATGAGAATTTAGGACCCGAAAATGGATTATATAATGGCACAAAACCCTAATATTGAGGTGGACAGTTGGGAGGATCATAATGATCCCATCTACTCATCCGTAAAACCGCGTCCCAAATGTCAATGCAGCTAACTTTTCTTTTGAAAAGGAAAGTCCTATCCAGCCTCACCTTTTCAACTTGTTTCCCTCTTTCCCTGTTTGAGCCAAATTATTATAGAACGAGAATGAAAAATATATCCGTTATTGGGGCCCACATAAGAGATAGAAAATTTGAATTTAAATGTTGATGTGATGGATAACGGTTATATTTTTTATTTTAATGAGATAATAATGTAGATCAAACGTGACTTAATTTACCACACTGCACCATTAGATTTTCCTTCTTCAGAAATTTGTGGTGATTATATAGTCCACATGCATGCATGCATGCATGCAAGCCTTTTTATCTTTTAATGCCCGTTTGACCCTATTAATTATTTCACATTATAGTGAGAGTAATGGTAATTTTTCGAAGAATGTGCAATTAACAAAGAATGAATTTTTTTGAATTTATGTGTAATATTATTTTACTGAAAATGTGTAGCTGATTAGAAGAAAGAGAAAGATGAATTATAATTTAATGGGAGCCAAATGGGGGCTTAATTGAACTAACTAGTGATGGCATGATTTATCTTTTAAAAAAAATAAATGAAAATTTAAGGTTGGATGTAGTTTTGTTTACTCAAGTAAGGGGCGGAGCCAGAAAATGTTATGATGGGCTGAAATTTAAAAAATTTCAAATAAACTTATACCACAAGAAATCGAGTTTCGGAAGCTATTCTCGTGACATTCACGATAAAAAGTACACAGAACTCAATGAAATAAAAAATTTAGATGTCTCATATTAAGATATTCCATTAAATCTTTGTATTTTTTTAACCAAATAGAAAATCGATGCTTGCCTTAAAAAAATATAAATCGATCAAATCATGATAGAAATAAGCAAAAATTCATATCCACCAATGAGAATTTAAAAAATTACTTAACGAGTACTCTTCTAGTAACTTTGACGATCAATCTTTCTAAACAACTGAAAGCTTGATTGAAACACGCAGCCAATAATATATCACTACTATCCATATGTTATTATCCCAAAATATTATTTGGTGTGTTTATCGATCTTTTATATCACCACATCAAAGTGAGTGAAGAATCTCAACCAAAATGAGAAAAATCAACTAAGAATTTTGAGGGTCAAAGAAATTAAATTTAATTCCTTTTGCTCGATTTCAAGAATATACTTATGTATAGATTACTTATAAATAAATAAGTTTTAAAGAATATTTTTTTTATTGTCAATATCGAATCTACAGTAAATTATTTACTTTGATCATAATATCTTTTTTATGGTCAAAATAAGTAATTTTTTTATAAGTATGAATTAGTAATATATGAAAATATACGTAGAAATGAAAATAATAATTACTTTTAAATTTAGCAAAATATATAATGTCACTAACTATTAAAATAAGTTATTTACTTCTAGATCTAATCATTACAAATTATCTATTAC